ATTTTCTCTGTAAACGACACAAATATTGTTTGTATTACGTTTGCATATGGTACACTTGTGAATACTTTTATACAGTGTTACTCTCAGATGGACACTCGACTTTATACTGCTTGCAATTGCCACGTTGTTTTTTTGAAATTATTCCCTAAAGGCTTGCAATTTGGTTTAAATTTAGTGAACAAGCTGGTCATGTCAAAACTCTATATTTTTGCTAAAACCGTTTCGTATATTACGTCGAATTCATTTCATGATAAATTCAATATATTAATGTTTTTTCTAATCAACGACTGCTTTAAGAAAAGATAAGTCGTAACTTTGGTGCTGGTACATTGATGATTTCGGTTGCATTCAGAATCAAGCACTATTTTCTCATTCCTATGGTATAATTATAAAATTTCACCAAAATATCAAATGACTTTTGGGATTACCTTTACCGGACAATTCACGATAAATATCCTTATACATAGCGTGCAATTTCTTTTTTTTTTGTTGGAAAAACGAATCATTTCCATATTTTCTTTCAAAGTATAGCTTTACCTATATTATTTCAGCCTACACATGCAACAAAGACATCAACGAATATAGAGACATTATTTCCAAGTAAAATCCTTTTCTCAAACTGTGCCAAATATCTTGAATCTTCCGGAACCATTAGAAAGACTAGTTTTACTAGACAATGTTTAAAAAAGTGTTTCTTTATCAATGGGATAGATATAGAAATATACTCACAAACAAATTAACATTGTGATCCTTACGAGCATGTTGAAGTAAACATCTTTAAGATGGGTATTCGTACTTTTATATATGATTGGAAATCTGGTTACGCATATCGTTTATTTTGTTCAATAGAACTACTTGACTTATAAAGTATTGGTAAAGATTCTTAAATTAAAAACGTATTGTCAAAGATACGTCATCCTTATAACATTAAGACAAGAAGAGTTATTCTGTTACTTAAAAAAGACGGCAACAGAAGATGTCACTTTCTGAAGTTAGTTGCGCGATAACTAATGTAAAAGACAAAACGAGGAGAGCAGAGGGTCCTGGAGCAGGATGCCTAGTGTGAGCGATTGTGCAACAGAAAAACGTTCATCAGGTATTTTCGAATATCCAAAGAGCGCGTTTTGTCTTATTTAACAACAGCTTCCAGTAGCAGGATTACAATCATTGTTTCCACAAGTTGAACCCATAAGTGGTGGACCCATGGGTGGTGGACCTATGGGTAGCGGTCCGATTGATATTGGACCGATCGATGGTGAACTTTTATATATGATTGGAAATCTGGTTACGCATATCGTTTATTTTGTTCAATAGAACTACTTGACTTATAAAGTATTGGTAAAGATCCTTAAATTAAATATGTATTGTCAAAGATACGTCATCCTTATAACATTAAGATATAAAGAGTTATTCTATTACTAAAAAAAGACGGCAACAGAAGGTGTCACTTTCTAATGTAAGAGACAAAACGTGGAGTTAGGAGCGTTCTGGAGCAAGATGCCTCGTGCGACCGAAAAAAAAGGAAACGTACATCAGTTATTCTCGAGCATCCTCAAGTATCCAAAAAGCTCGTTGTGTTTTATTTAACATTAGTTTCCAGTGGCAGGATTGCAATCATTGTTTTCACAAGTTGGAGCCATGGGTAGTGGACCGATCGGTTGTGGACCGGTCGGTGGTGGACCGATCATTGGTGGACCGATTGGTAGTGAAGCGATCGGCGGTTGTTGCGGTAAGTCCTATAATAAATAACATACATAGTGTAAATGCTCACCAATTGTCCCTGAGCTTATAAACAAAAATGGACAATTTGGGAAGAGGAGATACGATCATTCGACGACAGTCGGTGACTATAACAATCAGCCGCGAGGCTCGAATAATCGTATTTGATCTTCCGAAATTGTCCATTTTTGTTTAAAAGTTGAGAGACAATTGTAGAGAATTTATTGCATTACTACTGTACTATTAACTATTAAACTGACGAATACTGAACCCTTCCCTGTAATCATCGCGCATGTATGTATAGTTTAGATGTAATCATACATAAATGCTTGGTAGCAAAATTAAAGGTGAAAGAGAAAAAGATTTTACAAAAATTAGAATTAGTACCAATAGTTGTTCAATATGAAATGTCTCCTAACATGGAGAATTTTATAAAGCTCTTGACTGTAATAATAACAAAATCTTGTTTACTAACAGGACCTGTATTACCGTGTGAGGTCTAAAAATGTGTTGTAATAAATGTGGCAAGGTTATTTTCTATTTCTTTAACAAAAAATGTTTAAACAGATAATTTTAATAAGAAACTTTTTAATTCAAATAATACGACATTCATTTATGCATTAATGTTATTATTATTATTATTGACATTTTGCTTAAAGCCGGTTGTGCAAGTGAAATTGCTGTTCCATGCTCCACCACACTGACCACGAGTTAATTACTTTTTATTGAAGAAACACGATTTATAAAATACGTTACAGCAGTGCTACAATACAATGATCAGGCAGCCCTGGATTAAATTTAATTTCTGTCTATCAATACTTTGTACATACATACATACATACACTGTACGAATGACAAGTACAGAATCTTTTTTTTCTGTATTTTGTATCAGTGATTCTGTATAATTATTCCTCAGATGTACCATAGCATACAATTTTAATAGAGTAATTAACTTTTAAGGTGTATATTAGTGTAGACTCAAGAGATCTATGCTCGGTCGCACATCGTCAAAGTGTAAAGAATTCAAACACGGGCCAGTTTTTGCCAGAAAATATTTAAAATTAAATTTGTCAAAAGCTAAGTACATATGATGAAAACGAAGAGTCTCATTGTCATTCTTTAATTATGAAAATTTAGTACGAATGATAGGTAGAGTTATGATAAAGTACTTGTATGTACTTACTGGAATGCAGGGCCATTGATTCTGATACTGGCATATTGGATATGAAGGCCGACAGTAGCAAGGTTGCCAAGTGGCATAATAACACGGACAATTCTGTTTAGCTAATTGACAGAAAGAGTAATTCCAGAATATTGTACAACGTGCCTAACTTCAAGAATATGAGAACAGAATAATTCATTACTTACCAGTCGTCTGCGTACTGTAGTGATTATGAATGTGGACATGAGCAGTAACATTGACGGTTAATGCTTCACGATCATCGCTTTTAACTTGAGTACAATTGTTGTTAATGCATATTGTTTCATACGTGGTCTCAGCGATATCAATTTTACGATGATTTTGTCGCTTTATGCAATATTTACAACTGTCCGCACAAGAATCAGGATCGTACAGTTTCTCCTGTATACAAGATCCTACACATGGCTCCATGCAACTATGATCTTAACAAGACATAGATTTCAATGTTCGCATTATGTTATGCCTTATGCCTACTTATTCTAGAAACTATAAAATAAATTTCAATTGTAATCTAGGAGGATAATAATTGAATACAGACACCGTAAGAGAAACAGCAGTATATACGAGGTGACCCAAAAATGTTGTCAGTCCTTGAAATATGTGATTTCTGAGACAACTTGAAGTAATTTCTTCGGTAGCGAAAATGACCTCCGTGACATATCCTACGACATATGTATAGTGCGTCTCCAGATAAAACGAGAGTTTAGTGACACAAAGACGACTCGCGAAAGATAGCTGACGTGGCAAGATGATCATTCTAAATGGTTGATATGGCAACAGGCTTTAAGATCAAACTTTAGAGGCTTTTGAACGCTATCTACACTCATATTCAATATCGATTAAGTTACGTGAACTTAATTTTGAACATTTTTTAAGACAATGGTGCGTGTGTGTGTGTTGTTTAACCCGAGAAAGATAACCTACGTCGCAGAGGCGCCTGCGAAGACTGTTGATTTTTGTTAATTTTTCATAGAGGTCTAGTGATTTAAGTTTAAAATTACTTAAAATATAAAAAAATATAATATAAATGCATTTTATTTTTACAATAATGCCAAACCTTTAAAATGACTAGATTAACTTAAATAAATATCCGTTGTTAGTATAAAATTGACGCCTTAGAAAAGCATGCGCCTCTGAAGCGTATGGTTATCTTTTACGTACGTTGTCATATGGTTATCTTTCTAGGGTTAAAAGACTGCAAAGAGAATTAAAACAGTAGTGGGAACATTACTTTCCACCAGTAAGTATTTTATTACTCTTAATCTGGATATTAGCTAAATATAATATTTCCTTTTTGATTAATTGAATTTGCTTTTTAAAAATTAAACATAGTCGCCGTGTCTATAGTTATATATGGTCAAAGGCTTGGCGACGAGTTATTAACGAAAAACAAAAACCAATCAGACAGCGAATATAGCTCGCTCTCCGCTGCGGCCAACCACTGCCGCGTCGATCTTGCTGTCGCGCCGAAGGGCGCCAGCAGCGTTCTTACCAAAATAAGTTACGCAAGGAGTTGTAGCTCAGAGTTTCAATCATCATTTGGTAGACGTGCCACAACGCTATGCGGGACATCCGGCGCATATGTTACCTACTCTACTCCCTGAGTAAGTCATTTCCCTTTGAACACTGCGCACCAACAATACTTATCCTAATTAAGCAAAAAGTGTTTTCAAATCACCCCAGGAATCATGCCTTTCAACGGCTTGCAATATTTTTGAGACACCCTATATATTTTTTTGATTGTAGGAAAAGAATGTATTTTAGTTCGTACAAAAAGACACTGGACAATTCTTCATTGTGAGCTCAACTGTGGGGAAATTCAGAAATTTAACATCATAGCGAAGAAGTGTCCGAATGATTTGAATTGTTATAACATAGTAACATTGTCACGCGGAAATACAACACTTGGTATGAAAATATTAAATCCTCCGAAATACATTCTACATTCGATATTATAATCGCATACTTACCTTGCAAATAATTCTTAATTTAATATACGGCTATAATAATACAATATCCATGGTTTAATTAAGAGGTACTTGATATATAATAATTGTTGCTGTCAAAAGTAATAAATTTCAGAAGCCATGTGTATTGTTTCATCGACAAACTCATAAGTTGAAATAATAATTATTGATAGAGAAAAGGAAAAAACTAGAATATTTACGATAATATCGTGGTAACACGTTTCATATATAATTTCCACCACAAATTCCACTAACTAAAATATGCCGATGTTGATATCATACGGTAGAATCAAGAAGACGCGTGCATTTCATTCTAATTCTTCAAACTATGCTATTGGAACTTCCATTTTCTGTTGTTTTTATTTCCATCTTAGTTTTGCGATATATCATTAATCAAATCAATATATTAAAAATTATTTAAAATGTATCTATTTAAACAGTATATTTTCGTGAATATATTGTATCATACTTATTTCATGCGAATGATGATGTCTTTTCTGTCTTGTTAAACATGCTCTGTATGTTTCGGTATTCGAGTGCATGCATTCCAGAAGAATTTTTATTATATTGGATGCAGTTTCTTCGTCGGGTACTTCGATCGGGTTGGAGATAACAATGTTAATAAATATTCCGCAACTGCCGAAAATCACAACGAAAAGCAACGTTCGCGGATCCATCGTGGAACGTTTAACGAAACAGTAGACCCATTGTCACGCGAAAGCCTTTTTATACCGATTCCATGCACCGATGTAAGTAAAAATCGGCAACACAAGTATTGTTTGAGTTCTATCTCGTGATAACAAAGCCATTGTACTCTAGATAAATAACACAAAATTCAAAAAAGCTAAATCAAACTCCTAGCTCCTGTGAGAAGAAGTTCAAATAGTGTGTATTCTAGTGCGAATCATTGAAAAAATCAGATATTTTCTATACTTTACTGAAGAATATGTAGTTTTAAAAATTCTTAAAGTTAACAAAGTTATAGTGACAATGATATTCATAATATGAATGATCGGTATTAGTATACAACATTTTAAACGCGTCTTTCTCGAAACACTGTGTTTTTAAAGAGTGCCATATCACAAAAACCACTTCACCAATTGCCTTGAAAGTTTAGCTGCACATTCAGTATAATATCTATGCCTATAGACCGTACTAGAGCCAATCTAAAATTCTAATTTTTGTTTCATTTTTTAGACTGCCAATATTGAAAAAGCATTAGAAGGCATCAATAATCTAATTTGAAAATATCAATATTTTTTAAATTTTAATTATCATACTAATGAAGAATCTTAAACGTTCTTTCATTTCGAATAATCAAAATGGTCACGATCATTGATACCATATGTGACGATTTTTTTAAACTACACTATGTGTGTAAACAACCGCTGTCACATTCAACATTTATTAACCAAAACAATTTGTAAATGTGCTTAAAATATGTATAAATAAACTCTGTGAATTTGTCAGCAACAAGCGTCATAATTTCTGCACCAAAATATCTCAAAGGACGCTAAAAAAATATAGTTCACTTTAAAACGCCCCCTTAAATGTCTGTATTCAATATTCTGCTTTAAATTACTTATGCAGTATACATGATTAATATAGTCGGAAGTTGGATGCGATTTTGGAATTTTGATAAGGGAATTGCGCGGACTTGTCGAAGCTTCTTTCATCAACGGGTCGCCACTAAGTTTATAGGAAATGTTTCGTAGACTAGCCGAAGCTTCTTTCATCATAAAAGGTCGCCACTAGGTAATTAGAATATATTTTTGAACCAGTCGATGCTTCTTTCATAAACGGGTCGCCACTAGGTTTATAGGAAATGTTTCGTGGACTAGCCGAAGCTTCTTTCACCACAAGGTCGCCACTAGGTAATTAGAATATATTTTTGAACCAGTCGATGCTTCTTTCATAAACGGGTCGCCACTAGGTTTATAGGAAATGTTTCGTGGACTAGCCGAAGCTTCTTTCACCACAAGGTCGCCACTAGGTAATTAGAATATATTTTTGAACCAGTCGATGCTTCTTTCATAAACGGGTCGCCACTGGATAATTAGGATATGTCTCGTGGACCAATGCTTCTTTCATCACCGAGTCGCCACTGGGTATAAGATGAAATTGCGTGGACCAGCCGGAGCTTCTTTCATCAACGGGTCGTCAACAAACGGTAATTAAGATGTGTTTCGTGGAAATTAGAGTTTGGATGCCTCGTAACTTTTACAAAGAAGAAATGAAGATACATCTCGAGCGGTAAAGTTACATCTCTGTGGGTTTGTACCAACTACTGCTTCGAATCAGGAAATGGAATAATTGAGTTTGACAACCAAATTAACTGGTAAAAGAAGTATGTATCGCGGAGAGATTCTAGACTGTACTCTCAGTTTTTCGCACTGAGCCAGGCGGGGACTTAAAATCTTGTAACGATGTACGTACTCGGTTGAAATGCTCGAAAGAGAATCCGACTCAATCTCGCTAGCGTCGAGCCCTTAGCAGTCGCGTTTGAACCCCTTATATACCCAAAATTTCCTTAAAAACCAGTAGTGGAGGTGTCCATATGTGCCCCGGTTCCAGATGATTCGTCTTCGCGACTCTTCAAGGTATAATATTTGACTCACGGTATGAGCCGTTTATTTTGAAAGTGGCATAAATCACTTTGTTTTTATGTCGAGATATTTAAGGGTTTGCGTTTTAACACGTTTCAAAATATGGATGCTAACTTTCGAGAAGATTTACTTGTATTTGTTATCTCAGGATACTGATATTTTTCTCAGTATAAATAGTTTCGTATAAACATCAAAAAATCACCACTTTTCATTACGGTAAAGGGACTTAAGGCACTTTCAAAATAAATAGTTTAGAAAAATGACTGACATATATTAATTTTGTCCGACGTATTTTACGGAAGTGATGTTTTGAAAGGACAGTGATTTACTAAAATTGTTGAATAAATTACATATATAATAATAATTTATACCATGAACATATTTAATATAAAGGTTTGATTTAAGTATTTTTTACTTTAATATTCATAAAATACAAAAATAATTAGTACATTTTGAAACATAAGTATAAGTAATTTATATGAACATACATCAGTTGAATTTAATTTTCGTCATCAATAGGAGTGATTAAGTCCTCGGAAATCGTGTTCTGTTTCACATTTTTAAAATAACTGTGGTATATTGGGGGTATATAATTAAGCAAGTCCATCATGTCTTTGTATTTTGCTGAAGAAACAGGACGAGATCCAGCGTATAACGGATCCATTTCTATTTGTGAATAACGCCTAGGTCTTCCTCTTTTTGGTGACAAATCCAAAGTTAGAAATTCATCTTTTTCATCTAAAGTTAGTTTATAAAACATTTTATAGCCATCTGCTGGCGGGTCTGGAGGTAGCCGCCACATCACTATAATATAATTTACAAAACTGCACTATTCTTTCGCACTTATAAAAATAAGTCCAGTGTGATCACAACTTTTTTAAAAATACTGAAAATAATTCAAAACAATACTTCGCACACACTTATCACACGTTTCTATTTCGTTTACACTAAG